ATGTGTTGCCACCTTATTTAGCTTATTTAGCAAAATGAGTTACCAAGAGATAGGAGTGATGAGGTCCACCTTCTCATAAATGACTAGCAGGGCAGGCCTGAACACTAGGACATCTCTTGACACACGCACACACTCACCTACCCACACACATGTGCTCGTGCGCACACACACACAGAGGCCGTGTACTGTTTCTTCTTTATATATCTGTATAGGAAGGTTGAAAATTAGCGGAACAGTTGATTTCCTCCATTTTAGGCTTGATAATATTTTTGGGGAGAAAGCAAGGAGAGAGGGAAAGGTTAAATTTGTTAGAGATAAACCGGGCCTATCCCTTCCAAGTTTCTGCATTCTTGAGAGGAAAACCCATTGCAAGTTCACAGTCAATAATTCCCTCTGAATCATAACTCCTCTTTAGAGATCTGCTATGATTTTTGCGCTGTTAACTTCTATATCTGTTGGCTTGTGCGTTTGAAATGTAAATGTAAAATATTTTGATGTTAGCTGAAATTTTTTGGCTATGAACGGCGCATATAGGAAAAGGACACCGTGAGATGGGGCCTGAAAGGCTTTGTGAAGCGGTTAGCATGGCGGGCCTTATAGTATGGTGGACATTTTGGTCTTATTTTAATTAACTAAATCTAGCTTATTTTGTGGTTTTGTCATCATATGATAAAAGTGAGACGGACACACTCAAAACTTGAGATCGATTTGAAATGGAAAGAAACTCTAGGCAGCTAATATTAGATGTTTTCCGTTGCCATTTATGAAGAATGTATAGTGCTCTGCAATTTTGATGCAACCAGATAGCTAGGTGCCAAGTAAATTGGATTATTGCTAACAAAGTAAACCTACTCCTTTCCAAGTCTCTGAACTGGAGTGAAAATGCCTTGCTTATTTCCTATCCACAGATGATTTTTTAAATTTCTTTGCAGTTGGCATGGACGAATGATTAATCTTCATAGGCTTCTTAGTGTTATATTTATTAGAGCACATGCAATGCGTTGCCATTTGGAAATGACAAAAATGTGAAATAAAAAATCCTATGTAAACACTCAATGAGAAAGACAACCTGTCTAATAAAATTATAAATCCTGAGGAACCTTATGGGATCTCTGACACCTATTGTGAAATGTAAAGTCTCCACCAAGCTTCCAAGAAAAAACTTGTAGATTTAAGATTGTCAACTGCTTACCCAGTATCAATAATGAGATAAATAACTTGCAAGTCTTTTGGTTTAGTGATCTAAGCATATATCTTATCCGATTTTAGTGTTTGGAAGGTTCAACGGTACTCTTTTTAAATGGTAGTTTAGCCGTTAAGGTGATTAATTATTCCCTAAGGATCATATATCGGATGCCCATTTTTGAAGGAATTTGTTCAAATGGTGCAGGTCGATGAAAGGTTCTTGAAATAGTTTGTGATGCAAATCATAATGAGGATGAAGGTTCTTGGGGGCTGTAGGTACAACAATTTATATATGAAATCAGTCAATTTTAGAGGTAGTAGAAATTAGCAAACTCATTTTCATAACAAAATGGCGAAATTGTTATCATAATTGACTGGATTAGGAGTAGGAGTAATAGCTGTCTAGTTCTGAGGATCTTTTTACATGATGTTAATAATGATGGCATAAACAAGCCACTAAACCATAAACTGGTAGTTCGATTCAATATGATTTTCTCCCTCTTAATGACACGAAGGCGCATGTTATGATGCAGCAGTTCATTAAAATGCTATTATTCATATACTTCTGCTTTTTACACTGCCTTTTTTAGTTCCATTTCAAACTCTTTTTCTTATAGTCATATTCAGCTTCAAGCATATTCCTAGTTGTTCTTTATTTCTTTTGTTAGGCATGACGAGACAGAAAAAAAAATGTTGATAGAAAACAGAATAAAATTTTAAAGAAAATTCCCCTTCTGAAATATATTTTTCGGAAACCTCTGTGGATACATGAGTAGACAGTATGTCATACTGAGTATGTGATATTTCCATAAGTGCATTCAGCTTTTTGGTGATCGTAGTTTTGTGCTTTCTGTGTTTGTAAAACCATGCTAAGGCTTCAATTTACATTCTATCTAATTGAACTGTGTTAAAATTGTGTTAAGGTATAGAACAACTTAAAAAGTGCCTCAACAAAAAGCGAGTTCTATACGTCCAGAAAACAACAAAATTCGAATGACAGATTAAGGGCATTCTACATACCAGGGAGGTGGATTTGATAACTTTATCTGAATCCAGTTCCGAGTACTTGACATCTTTCATAGTTGATAACATCACATCCATAAAGTCACAATCATCTTTAGCCTTTTGAGAAGCCCTCCTCTGCCGATGCTCCTCAATCAAGTTAGTCATAAGGGAATCCATGTCCTGAGCAACAGATTTCATTGCGGTTTCATTCCGATTGACATAAATCCACTTCAGAAAAGGAAACATGTCTGATGTTACGAAAGCATTTAACAGCTTGAAGAGCTGAGGAACTGCCCTTCTAAACCTCCATGCTTCATCAGAGGCAGTTACTGTCGAGCCAAAATATCGCTTGCCAGCAACCATGTTGGTAATTATGTTGTAAGCTGCATCTCCTAGTAATTGTTTCACGTCAACCTTAACGGGTCTCTGCTTGTTCTCTACCCACGTTCTATGCAGTTCCTTTATGAACATGTCAACTTCCATAGATCGTACATGCTTGAGCATCTCAAGACGAGTGTTTGAGAGGAGCTCTATTGTGGATATCTTGCGAATCGTGCGCCAATATGGGCCATAAGGTGCAAAACCCAACATGGCATAATCATAGCCCATATGCTTACCAGCTGCATAAGCAGGGCGAGAAGCAAGAGCCTTATCATTGGTAGATAAACAATCCCTTGCTCCTTCCTCATTGTTGACAACAAGCATCCGTCGCTGGCCTAATCGCAGCATGAAAACTGGACCACACTTATCTGCCATGTCTCCTAGTACCTGAGCAAGAGGCTTTGGCCCTTTGAGGAGATGAAGATGGCCGATTACGGGCAAGGCCCTCGATGGCTGAGGAGCCTCCTTGTAGTGTTTCGTGCTACTTCTCTTCCTTAGAAGCCTCCCAATCCATTGGTTGCAAAAGAAAACCAAGAAAATGGAAACACAAACATATTGTAACTGAAGAAGGAAATCCATTTGTCTCTTGTAGGTTTGTGGACTGGGCTGTAGAAGTGATCCTATTTATAAGTGCATATTAGGTAATTCAACATGATTGCAACTTTTCTCAACCATGGCGAACAAAGCATATCTTATGGTACATAAATAGTGAGCAAAATATTTTTGAATGGATCTATTGCAAACCCTTTACTGTATTCACAGGGTGAGTTTGCGCTTGAGAAATGGACAAAACTTTGCATATGTTATGGTTTAATTACGTACTTTTGTATTGTTCCTCTTTTTGAGCGGGTCTATTGAAGACCCTTTACTCTGTTCGCATGATGGTTTTTTTGTTTCTAAGAAATGGATAAAACTAGGCGTTTGTTTTGGTACAGTGATTGTATGTATTAGATATTAATTACTTTTTCTTCTATCGTTCTTTGTAAGGGATTTTTCCAAATGCTAACGAATCAATTCGCGTGGTGGCTTTTTTAATTATCTAGAAATAGATATAATATTTTGCGAACAGTTGGGAAAAGCAATCTGAATTGGTCAATGCCAAATCTTGCACCAGATCAAATTTGGGTAATTTTTATCAGATGAAGCAACGTAACAGCTGACTAAACGAGTCCTTTGAGTACTAGTGATGATGTCTCTGTTTTTTAAATTTACATGCAGGCATGACCAATGCTGAAAAAACAAATGGAAAAAAAATTGGATAATGGAGAATTCTTGTTGGCCAGCTCAAAATCAGGAAGGTTACCTGCAAACAAATCACATTGAGATGGAAATTTCAGTGTGTTCAGGTATTGTGGACGGATTTATTCATTCATGTTAAAGTAAGAGAGAGAGAGAATCTTGGGTAAATTTCCCTTGAATTGAATATTGAGTGTGCACATATATTTATACAAGTAGAGGAGTGTGAGGTTTGTTCTCCCAAGCAATGTGGGACTAAAACCCACTACAATACACTATTATCAACAGCCCCCTTCAAACTCATGTTGGATCAAACAAAGTGAGTTTGCGTACAAGAAACTGGAACCGATGAACAGGTAAGGCCTTTGTGAAGAAATCTGCAAGCTCGTCAGCGGATGAAACATGAGGAAGTAGAATTGTCTTGTCCTTGATAACTTGGTGACGGACAAAATGAGCGTCGATCTCAATATGTTTGGTCCTTTCATGAAATACTGGATTATTAGCAATCTGGATGGCACTCTTATTATCACAGTAGAGAGGAGTAGGAGTCGTAACAGAAATACCGAAATCACTGAGAAGGCGACGAAGATGAATAATCTCTTTAGCTGTTGTGGACATTGCACGATACTCTGCCTCAGTACTGGAAAGAGCAATAACATCTTGTTTCTTACTTCGCCAGGAAATAAGGGAATCACCAAGAAATATACAATAACCTGTGGTAGACTTTCTGGTAGTTGGATCACCAGCCCAATCAGCATCAGAATATGCACAAAGCTCTAACTTAGATGTAGCAGAAAACAAAAGTGAGCGAGTGCTAGTACCCCGGAGGTACCGAAGAATCCGTAATAAGACAGCATAGTGTACAGAACGTGGGGCACTAACAAATTGACTGACAATACCAACAGCATGAGAGATATCTGGTCGAGAGATGCACAAATAGACCAACTGACCAACAAGATGTCGATATCGGGTAGGATCAGATAGAGGCTCACCGTCAGTAGAGCAAAGTTTGACATTCTGCTGGAGTGGAGTATCGACAGTTGTATTATCAGTTAACTCAGCTTGATTTAGAATATCTGAGAGATACTTCTGTTGAGACCTGCACGAGTCAAGAGCTGAATTCGCCTATAAACGGCAAGCTCGCCAGACTCACCAGAGTACTGGGCAGCCGCTATCCCACGTACAAGGATGGATCTTCCCACTCCCACACGACGTGATGTGAAGCACAATGCTCTGAGCCCCTCAAGTGGCCGCTCATGGTATAGGTGAACGGAAAGATATCTCCCAATAGTACATGGTCATATCCCCTGATTCAAGGAACGGCCACACCATCTTTCCTCTATTTAAAAACTTCTTTCGGCT